AATTGGAAAAACTGCCATTACTGTACTGTTTCTCAATACTACCAAATAGCCATACATGTCTGCCATCGAGATTTATTGTAAACATTAAAATAGTCCCGTTGTATAAATGGTCTTTATTTTGAAATCTACTTAGACCCCCATGTTAATAAAACTGATTGAAAAAAAGCAAATATACAAATATTCTACTTTATCAATATCTGCATTTACGAGTGGGTGTATACAGCAATAGATTCCGCATTTCCTGAAAAACCACCAGTGTCCGTTGAAAATGCCTTTCAAAAAGGTTAATGCACACTTAATTATGTGTGAACATTTAACTGAAGTATCTTCCACTTCACTAATCGTAAAAAAAAAATGTAGCAATACATGATGTTAAGTTTATAGTGTTTACACTAAAAGTATGTGACTAAAAATTCGGAACTCTCAGAGAAATCTTTTCACCTGTGAAAGCCTTAATTTCTGAGTACTGCTAGCAAAGGTCTAGTGAATTCATATTCTAAACCTTTGTCTCATTTACCATGTTATGTATCTACTTGGCACTATTTTCTACTTGAATCATGAAAATGAAAAAAATATATATATTAAAGTCTTTGTACTTTCTTAGCATATTCTGTATTCTAAACAATATATTTATACTTTTAGAATGGTATTAACAATTAGTTTAAGTAACTCCAGCTAACTTTTAAAAGGAAAACAAGACTGCACTGATTGATTGAGGAGAAATTTATTTGCAGTTACTTAGATGATGTAAAAAGGTAAGGTTTTAGGGTTGTAACTTAGTGAAACCACTGTTGTGATATGTTGTGGCTGTAAATTACATTAATTTATAGTCACCACATTGTTTTAAGTTGTTTATTTTTTAAAAGTCTGTCTTCAGAATACAACCAATGTGATTAATTGTGCCTTTAACAAAGTCATTCAATGTCTAAACAAATTCAGTATCTGAAACATCTTCATGAGGAAAACGGAAGGAAAAGAATTTCAAAACACAGACCAGGAAACAATCACAAAATATAGATTTAATTACTACTTTTAAACTTACTTAAAAAAAAAAAAAAAAACTACCAAGAAAACAAAGTACTTCAGTAAGACTTGCTACTCTGAATAATGTAACATTTTTTCTGAGTTCTATAAATACACTAGAAGTTTTAGAACACATACAGACATTTAGAAAAAGAAAGGCTAGTTCCTTGGAAATGATGATCCAAGATGATACAATCACTTGATGACAGAAGCTAAGCCTTTCTTACAATTAGATTTTAGCAAGTAATTTTGCCACTAATATAAATGGGTGATGTGGGGATCACAACTTCTAGAAAGTGAAAGAAAAAAAAAAAAAAAACTGACTTCAGGTAATTTCTGAATACTACAAAAATGAAATTTGCTTGTTTTTTTAGAACCAAAAATAAATTACTATTTTGTAAAGTACAAAGAAAGCTTGATATTGAGTATGAAAACATAAGCATAACACTTGTAACTAATCACACCCATGAAACACTAGATGACACCTGAAACATCATATTGCTAACTAATGGACATACAAGGCAGAAACTTGTTTCCAAAATACTGTAACACAGATGAGTAATATTAGTATAAATTCTTTATTTACATTAAGATCTGTTTCAGTTTGCTGGTGTGACCAAACCTTAGAAAGTAATCCCAAGGGATAAAGCAGAACATAAGAGCAGATATTTAGATATTACAGGTTCAATTTGACGCAACCATAAAAACCTTCAAGATTTCTAGTCACTTGAAACCATTGTAGGTAGTGTTCTGGAGTCTGCTAAAAGTAAATATTCAATGACTAGATGTTTTCCTTACCATCTACACTGAATGGAAATACCATGAATATAGACACATTTTAAGTAGAAGACTGACATTTTAAATCATGCTATTTGATTTTATAAAAAAATCATAATAGACCCTCTCACCTTTAAAAGTTGTAGAGGAGCTTTATAATAAATTCTTAAATATACTAATTTCTGTGATGTCTAGCAATTGAATAAACTTGAACTAAAATATTGCTAATAACCATCTGCTTTATATTACACAAGGAAATATACACATATATACACAAAAAGTGAACTCCCTTCACAAACAAGTTCACAAAGGACTATGTATAATGTGACTGGACATTCAACAACTAGGCTAGCTGGTTGAAATCACATTTTCAGTCCTCTGTAATTGTGAAATCTTTTCTAATGCCTTGCAAAAACTACAAATAACTGATTAAGTTCATGTAGATTCCTTATTGAAGATAACTGTGTTAGAAATTCTATACTCAAGTTACTGAACATGAGTTAGGTTTTTCCATGTGATCTAACTTTTCCCTCTATAATCTATAAACCCCAAAATAACATTTTCTGTCAGAGATCATCTGTAACATAAGTCTTCCTGTGTGCTGAACAAAAAACTTCTAAATTGCCTACAATTCACTATTTAATCCAAACAAGTTTAACAAGAAGAAATTTATACTGTTAGACCCCAGTGGTCATATGTGATTAAACATTTTTTGTAAACTCAACTATATTCACACATCAAGAGTTAACCCAGTGAGCTCAGTCTTTAAAAAAGTACACCTCTTTAAAGAAAGTCTTTTGGTGCTCACTACAGCAGCACATATACTAAAATTGGAATAATACAGGGAAAATTAGCATGGACCCTGTGCAAGGATGACACACAGATTCATGAAGCATTCCATGTTTAATTTGAAAAGAAAATGTTTTAAACCCAAGCAAAAATAAAATATCTAAAAGTGTTTTAAATCTAAGAAATGAAAACTGTAAGAGTTAAGAATTTACTGAATCTTAACAGGACATTTCCTTTTGTGATACTGACAGGAATTTCTCATAAAATGTATAAAACAGCATAAATGTTTGGTAGATTCACTAATATCTTTTTTTTTTCACTTAATATTAGCGTTTGTTGAAGAAAATGGCCAAAGTGCTTGAATTTTCATTTAGAATGAAACAATCTGGCTTACCGCTGACCAATTAATTAAAGAAAATATAGAGTAATAGAAGTGTTCAAAATCTAACACAAATAGGAGGGTTTACTATTTTGACTGCTAGATTTTAACTCAACTAATTAGATTGAAAATACCAACATCCCAAAACAAAATTTACTGACGTGACATCAGCTTACTATATATAAACTGAATAAGCTTTCAACATCAATCCTTTGCTACCTCAAATAATGACACAAAGTCATAATGTTTCTTTCACATAAGGATCAAGATCAAGCTATTTTTAAAACAATCTAAATGGTCTCAAAATATTCTCCAACTTAAGGGCAAATGTGAGTACGTGTAATATTTCCAAATAGTAGAACTGTTTTGAGATTATCTTTGGATTCTAAGAGTTACCATTTTGTTCATTTTTAAATAAATTACTATATAAAAATTAACAGTTCAGGGTTTTTCAAATTTTCCTAGGCCTTTGCTATGGCAACACAATATACACTTAACAGGCTGGCGGGCAACCAGTACTCACAGAACAAATCAAAGGATGACTGAAGCCTCTAATCTGATTGAAGCCCTTGTAACTATAGCTCCCCAAGGCAGTTTTACTCCTGCCATATAGGTCTAATATTGTGGGATGCACCTCCAAACCTACCCAAATATGGACATCAAAGGCATAAGCCGGCAGGCAGGAAACTCTGTTGATTGGAGAATCACTCCATGAGTTGGAGAGAAGTGGATGAACGCTATGGGAAATATAAATAAGACTGCAGAATTAGGGAGGTGGCAAGATCTAAAGAGATGCCTCAGGAAGAAGCCTCACATTTCTGAAATATACATGTGAACTGAGTGGGGATAAAAGTACAATCTCCAGCTTAATCTTAATCTTGATCAGGCCAGAAGTCAATATTAAACTATGTCCCTAAATTATATTACTTGGGATTTTTACCTGATTAAAGGTGAAACTGGAGTCTAAACTTCTAGGCATCTGCACATATGCAGACAGAAAAAAACTATAGCAAACTAATACTGCAAATGAAATTTTAAATGTTATTAGTCCCCACATGCCACAGTTAAATCCCTGACAGTACTGTTAACATCAGATGATAGAATGAATCAGAAACAGTTTATGTGTACCTTTCCATAGATGCTGAAATCAGAGGGAAGAAAACTAGAGGCCAAAACCAAAGTATCTTCATGAACCTTTGACCATAGTTTGTTTTTGTGCTCTCGTTTACTTGAAGTTATATTTATTGTAATTTACTGACACTCGTTTAGGCATGCCAACATTTTTTAAAATGGTGATTAGTTTTGAAATTTAAAACTTTGAGAACGCTCACCAAGTTTTACTTTATTAAAACCTTTAGTATAAAAGATTTCTGTGATCCTTGTAAGTAATGGAAATGCTGCTACTTTCAGTTTTTTAATTCTATTTTTGAAATAATGGTCAGATGTACCACCTGATAAAATATAATATGATCTGGTTTCCCAAAATTGAAACATGATTAATAAAAATAAAAAATTGCATTTACCAAAAATAGCCTGAAAAATTAAAGGAATGGTGAATTCTACGTTCTAAAGGGAAGCAAAAAACTGCATAGTAAATAAGTTCAAATTGAAATTTTGGAAATTTTTGTGCTGTGCCCCATGCTATTTATTAATTACCATATTTTAAAAACAACAATTATGTTACAAAGAAGATGGTTTATCATCTGCATTTCTTCTTCCTTCAGGTCAACTTAGTTTTCTTCTTAGCAGGTCCTTTATGCCCTTTGGCCTTTCTTCTTAAATTCCGCCTGTCTACCACAGGCACTTCCACTTCTATTTCCTCTGAGCTGCTATCCACAGCTTTTTCTGCTGATTGTGTAAACTGATCCAGTTGCTCAGAAGATGCTTCAGACTGCTCCTCAGACTGGTTCTTCTGTCCTGCATTCTGTGAAAATGGCACATCTTCAAGTTCAACCTCTATCAAGGAACTCTGAGGAACAGCAGTAGATGTTTCCTGGGGCTCAGATACCCCCTCCTCACCCTGGTCTTCCAATGAGGAAGTAGTGTTGGGAGATAAATTCTCAGAGACTGGTTCTTCAGATAATTCAGCTATCACAGAGTTTGGAAAACCACCATCAGATCGTTCTTCATTTGACATAGTAGTAACACTGTCTGAACTCCCAAGATGTGCTTTCTTTCTTGGAAGTAGGGACAGTTTCTCTTCTGTGTGCCCCTTTTCCTCAGATGTGCCTTCATCCATCATTTCTGAGTCAGCTGTATGTGGGGTCTGAAAATTTAAAAGCCTGGTCAACAAATAAACTTGTAATACAGTTCTAAAAATAAATTATTCTGAGGCACTAATATGCAATGACACTGAACTACAATTTAAACAATTCAGTATTCACTACTTTTGTTAATCATGTACATTTTTTGAAATTTCTCTCTTTTGCTAAATGTGTACATATCCTGAATACAACTCAATTTCTTCAAAACTGCATCACATGGTAATTTAAATATACTAAGTTCTTACTTTGAGGATATAATGAATTATTTTGTATTTAAGACACTTTAAACTTCATATGAAGATTCTTCAAAACCATGAATCAACTCAGTTTTTTGAGTTTCCTAGTGTTACAGGAGCCAGAACCAAGAATCCCTTGGGACTTGACACTGTGCCACCCCACTAAGTTTGACGATGATTTCATTAGATTGTAAGTTAGGGCAATGAAAGTTTTATTCATTTACTTAGGTGAGACACTAATAAATAATATCATACAATAGTTTTTTAGCCATAAATTTAATATTCAAAAGTAACTAAATTTATTTTAAAATACCTCAACAAGCTTTTTTCCCCCATTAACCTAATCTGCCTACCTAATTAAATTTAAATTACTGTTTTGGTCATAGACTATGTAAGCAATAGATACTCAAATATTTAGTAAATAATGCTTTATCCATTTTTCTAAGCATTTCCTAAGTACAAAGTATTAAAGGTAATAAAACTCATTTTGTTACCATGTATCAGATATGTTATAATTATTTAGATTTATAGAATATTACTGATAGCATTTTATTACAATATCAAATCTAGTATAAAAGTTAATCTTCCTAAAGCATTGTACATGTTAAGGTGGAAGCAAATACATATACCACGTACCTCCCCCCTAATGTCACCAACATTGGTACACTTTATTAAAAAATAGCTCATTGCCCCCTTACCTTATCTGATGCATCTGCTTCAGGGACTTTTGAAGATTCTACCACCAGTGGAACAAGATTTGTAGGGTCTTCACTGGAATTAAAAGACTGCAATTTTAATTCTTCATCTAGAACTTCACTAGTGGAGTCTTCCTCTTCTGCTATAACTGAGGTCTTAAGAGAATCATCCATTATTTCACCATTCATAGGCTCTAATTCAGATTCCTACACCATTAGGAGAGGAGAAAAAAGGACATGATTACAAACTAATTTATTTGTCATGCATGATAGATCCCTTCTCAGTGCCTACCTATCCTACACTAAGACTCAAATTTACAACATTATAGGGCATAGGTTAAATAACAGTCTTACTGTGGGAAAGGGGAAACTGATAAGGCAGTATCAGCAAAATAAAACAATCCTAAGTACCACATACTTCCACTGCTCTTAACGAAAGACGGGGCAGGACCAGGATACTCTGTGGACACATGATGTGAGTCAGAGATTCAATGAAAAGACCTGCCCATTTCTCGTTCTTTCTTATAGGGCAATCATGGGAGGAACATTTTCAGGAAAAAGACACGAGAGGGAGTATAGACTTGATGCTAGCTCTTTACATAACACCAGCTGTTCAGCAACTGGAATCTTTGGGGCCTATGGGAAATTACAGTTCACTTTGGCAGAGGTAGGAAGCACTACCAGTCTTATGGGAAGTTCAGTTTGGGAACTGCTTCTTGTTGGAAGGAGAGAGCCGAAGTCTCAGTCAACACCAGGGTCATTTCTGAACAATCCTGCTCCTTGCATCATATCATTAAAGTGTGGAAATGCTTTTTTGACAACATGAACTCTCCAATTTCTAAAATCCAATGTTTACCAGATTACTTCTATTTAATGCCAAGTATTTCTAATTAATCCTACTGACATTCTAATAAGGGAAATTTTATTACCATTATTAAAATTATAAAACTGATAGCCAACAAACATGGAAAAATGCTCAACATCACTAATTGTGATGGTTAATACTGTCAACCTGACTGGATTGAAGGATGCAAAGTGTTATTGCTGGGTGTATCTGTAAGGGTGTTGCCAAAGGAGATTAACATTTGAGTCAGTGGACTGGGAGAGGCAGATCCACCCTCAATCCAGCTGGGCACCATCTAATCAGCTGCCAGCATGGCCAGAATAAAAAGCACGCAGACAAACGTGGAGAGATGAGACTGGCTTAGCCTCCCAGCCATCTTTCTCCCGTGCTGAATGCTTCCTGCCCTTGAACATGAGACTCCAGGTTCTTCAGCTTTGGGACTCGGACTAGCTTCCTTGCTCCTCAGCTTGCAGACAGCCTATTGTGGGACACCTTGTGATGGTGTAAGTTGATACTCCTTAATAAACTCCCCTTTATATATACACCCTCCTATTAGTTCTGTCCCTCTAGAAAACCCTAACAGATTTTGGTACCAGAAATGGTTCTAAAGGAACCAAGTATTAACGATGGAGTTTTTTCTTAGGTTTTAGAGTGTCTGGAGTTGGCTCCTTAATATGATCAGACCCCAGAATGCTAAGGACGCCACTTCTAATAGTATGGAGAACACTGATAGTCCTTGGTGTGAATTGTTTTGAGCTATGCAAAATAAATGCATTTGACACTCCTGATTCACCGCTCTTGAGAGGGAAGAAGTTTAGTGACTCTATACATGATACCTTTGACCAGATGTGGAGAACTAAGGAACATAATGAAGTTGGTTGGTTGCTCCTAAGTTCACTGGACAAGTGATGAAAGAAAAGGATGAACTCAGGGACTCTAACTCCCAACTTCAAAAGCAAATACTCATTTCAAAAACCCCGACTGAGTCTTACCTCCTATAGACAAAGAGTTGAAATGGTGGAAAATCAGACACAACCTCTCATCATGTGAGTGGCTGACCTGCAGCAATGAAAGGTGCATGCACAGCCTCACCAGGTGTCTACTGTTAAAGTGAAGGCATGGATTGGAAAAGAATGGGACTCTGCAACTTGGAATGGCGACATGTGGGAGGACCCTGATGAAGCTGGGGACACGGAGCTTGTAAAACTCTGATAAGCACTTTTTGCCAGAAGAAACAGCTTCGCCATCCTCCGTAGTGGTAATATAACCTCAGGAAAAGAGAATCAGCCCTGTTTGCTTCTAGATGTGTAACTAGACTCAAGTCCCGGCAGGCCCCTAGAGGTGAGGTTCAGAGTGTGACCCACAAGGATGTGTGCTATACTTGAAAAGAACTGCTGGAGTTTTCTAATTTATATAAGCAGGAATCTGGAACAGGCATGGGAATGGATATTAAGAGTATGGTGGAAGATGGTGGAAGGAACACAGAATTGGATTAGGCTGAATTTATCGATTTGTGCCCACTAAGTAGGGACCCCGCATTTAATGTTGCCACTCAGGGAGTTGTAAAAGGTTCTAATCACTTATTTGCTTGGTTAGCTGAATTATGGATTAAAAGATAGCCCTCTGTGAGCAAGATGGAAATGCCTTATCTCCCTTGACTTAATGTAGAGGAAGGGAACCAAAGGCTTATGGAGATTGGGATTCTGAAGTGGATTAGTCACTTTAGACCTACTCATCCCAGCTGGGAGGGTCCAGCAGATATACCCTTGACCAATGCTTTGTGTTAACAGATTTGTGAGGGTAGCACCTGAATCTTTGAAGAGCTCTATGATTGCTCTTCTCTGTATGCCAGATCTAACAGTGGGAACCACACTCAACTACAAAATTTAAATGCAACATAAATAATTGGATCCTGAGGTGGCAGGGGCCAAGTGGCAGCACTCAACCATCAAAGGCAAGGTGGGCGAGCTACTACTGTGATGGACCGCACAGGCAAAGCACCAATCGGAATAGTCCCTTCTGTAGAGCTCTGGCACTAGCTAGTTAATCACGATGTTCCCAGAAACGGAACTGATAGGAAGCCTACTGCATTCCTACTTAATTTATGTAAGTGGAAAACTTCCACTGAGTGGACAAAAGACTAATTTGAATTATTTAAAAAAAGAGAATCACAGCCCCTCAATCAATTTCCAGACTTGAACCAGTTTACAGACCCAGAACCCCTTGAATGAAGCCCCTTGAGGAAGGACTCCACTACAGTACCAATAATTTATGCTGTGAATCTTTCTCCCATCGTTCCCCAAGGAGACCTCTGGCCTTTCACCAGGGTTACTATGCATTGAGGAAAGGGAAATGATCAGACATTTCAAGGACTACTGAACACTGGTTCTGAGTTGATGTTGATTCCAGGAGACCCAAAACATCATTGTGGTCCTCCAGTTAAAGCATGGGCTTGTGGAGATCAGTAATCTAATGGAGTTTTAGCTCAGGTCTGACTTGCAGTACATCCAGTGGGTCCCCTGGACCCATCCTGTGGTCATTTGCCCTATGCCAGAATGCGTAATTGGCACAGACATATTTAGCAGCTGGCAGAGCCCCCACATTGGCTCCCTGACTGGTAGGGTGAGGGCTATTACGGGGGGAAAGGCCAAATGGAAACAATTAGAGTTGCCTCTACCTAGAAAAATAGTAAATCAAACACAGTATCGCATCCCTGGAGGTGCTGTGGAGATTAGTGCCACCATCAAGGACTTGAAAGGTGCAGGGGTGGAGATTCCCACCACATCTCCATTCAACTCTCCTATTTGGCCTGTACAGAAGACAGATGGATCTTGAAGAATGACAGTGGATTATCATAAGCTTAACCAAGTGGTGACTCCAATTGCAACTGCTGTACCAGATGTGGTTTCACTGCTTGAGCAAATTAACATACCTCCTGGTAAGCAGCCATTGATTTGGCAAATGCCTTTTTCTCCATTCCTGTCCATAAGGTCTACCACAAGCAATCTGTGTTCAGCTGGCAAGGCCAGCAATATATCTTTACTGTCCTGCCTCAGAGGTATACCAGCTTTCCAGATTTGTGTCATAATCTTGTTCAAAGAGTCCTTCATGGCTTTTCACTTCCACAAGATATCACACTGGTCCATTACATTGATGACATTATGCTGATTGGATCCAGTAAGCAAGAAGTAGCAAACACACTGGACTTATTGGTGAGATATTTGCGTGCCAGAGGATGGGAAATAAATCCAACTACAATTTAGGGAACTTCAACCTCAGTGAAATTTCTAGGCTTACAGTGGTGTGGGGCCTGTTGAAATATTCCTTCTAAGGTAAAGGATAAGGTGCTGCATTTGGCCCCTCCTACAACCAAGAAAGAGACCCAACACCTAGTGGGCATATTTGGATTTTGGAGGCAGCACATTTCTCATTTGGGTGTGTTACTCCAGGTCATTTATTGAGTAAACCAAAAGGCTGCCAGTTTTGAGTGGGTCCAGAACAGGAGAGGGCTCTGCAACAGGCCCAGGCTGCTCTGCAAGCTGCTCTGCCACTTGGGCCATATGACCCAGCAGATCCAGTGATGCTTGAGGTGTCAGTGGCAGAGAGGTATGCTGTTTGGAGCCATTGGCAGGCCCCTATACATGAATCACAGGGAAGGCCCCTAGGATTTTGGAGCAAGGCCCTGCCATCTTCTGCAGATAACTACTCTCCTTTTGAGAGACAATGCTGTTTGAAGCCTTTGGCAGGTCCCCATAGGTGAATCACAGTGGAGGCATCTAAGATTTTGGAGCAAGGCCCTGCCATCTTCTACAGATAACTGCTCTCTTTTTCAGAGGCAGTTCTTGGCCTGTTGCTAGGCTTTAGTGGAAACCAAACATTTGACTATGGGTTATCAAGTCACCGTATGACCTGAACTGCCTATCATGAACTGGGTGTTTTCTGACCCAACTGTGGGTCATGCACAGCAACATTCCATCATCAAATTGAAGTGGTATATACATGATCAGGCTTGAGCAGGTCCTGAAGGCACAAGTAAGTTACATAAGAAAGTGGCTCAAATGCCCATAGTCTCCACTCCTTCCACCCTGGCTTTTCTTCCACAGCCTGCACCAATTGCCTCATGGGGCGTTCCCTATGATCAGCTGACACATGTAGAGAGACTAGGGAGGACCTGGTTCGCAGATGGTTCTGCACAATATGCAGGCACCACCCAAAAGTGGACAGCGGCAACACTACTACTAGGAATCCGCAGCACTACAGCTCCTTTCTAGGACATCCCCGAAGGACAGCGGTGAAGAGAAATCTTCCCAGTGGGCAGAACTTCAAGCAGTGCACCTGACTGTGCATTTTGCATGGAAGGAGAAATGGCAAGATGTGCGATTATATACTGATTCATGGGCTGTAGCCAATGGTTTAGAATGATGGTCAGGGACTTGAAAGAAACATGATTGGAAAACTGGTGACAAAAAAATTTGGGGAAGAGGTATGTGGATGGACCTCTCTGGGGGGTAAAAAACTGAAGATATTTGTATCCCATGTGAGTGCTCACCAAAGGGTGACCTCAGCAGAGGAGGATTTTAATAATCAAGTGGATAGGATGACTTGTTCTGTGGACACCACTTGGCCTCCTTCCCCAGATGCACCTGTCATCACCCAGTGGGTCCATGAACAAACTGCCCATGATGGCAGGGATGGAGGTTACGCATGAGCTCAGCAACAAGAACTTCCACTCACCAAGGCTGACCTGGCTACGGCCACTGCTGAGTGCTCAATTTGCCAGCAGCAAAGACCAACATTAAGCCCTCTATATGGCACCAGTCCTCAAGGTGATCAGCCAGCTACCTGGTGGCAGGTGGATTATACTGGACCTCTTCCATCATGGAAAGAGCATAGGTTTGTCCTCACTAGAATAAACACTTACTGTGGATATGGGTTTGCCTATCCTGCATACAATGCTTCTGCCAAGACTACCATCCGTGGACTCACAGAATGCCTTATCCATCATCACGGTATTCCACACAGCATTGCCTCTGATTAAGGCACTCACTTTACAGCTAAAGAAGTTCAGCAGAGGGCTCATGCTCCTGGAATTCACTGGCATTACCATATTCCCCCAACATCCTGAAGCAGCTGGATTGACAGAATGGTGGAGGAGCCCAAAGTGTCCAGGTGACAATCTTCCAGTTTAATGGAATCGTTGTTGTGTCTCCTGGTGGCAGCATTCCTCTCTGGAACTAAGACCTCTAGGCCAGCAGAACATAATGTCGTGAGGACAGGAAGCAAAAATTTTGCTAGTGGATCACTAGGGGTGATGGTGGTAGCTGCTAATAGCTTCACTCTCACTGTGACTGACTGACCCGGACTATCAAGATGAAATCAGTCTACTACTCCACAATGGAGGTAAGGAAGAATATTCGTGGAATATAGAAAATCCCTTGGGGCATCTTTTAGTATTACCATGCCTGTGATTAAGGTCAATGGGAAACTACAACAGCCCAATCCAGGGAGGACTACAAATGGCCCAGATCCTTCAGGAATGAAGGTTTGGGTTACTCCACTAGGAAAAAAAAACAGGACCTGCTGAGGTGCTTGCTAAATGCAAAGGGAATATAGAATGGGTAGCAGAAGAAAGTAGTCATCAATACCAGCTTCGACCACTTGACCAGCTGCAGAAATGAGGACTGTAATTGTCATGAGCATTTCTTCCTTATTTTGTTAAGAACATGTTTGTGCATGTATACACTTGTACTAAGAAAATATCTTCATTTTATTTCCCTTTTCCTTTATCACATGACATAAGATTTATTGACTTCATATCAGCACTTAAATGTTAACTTTATGTAATAGTATTTGTTTTGGGGGTTTCCAATTGTACAAAGGACAGCTGTATTATGTTAGGTGTAATTATGACCTTATTACTGTCTTTATTTGAAGATTATGTATGATCTCAGGAAAGGTGTATGGGTTCAAGCTGTGAAGGGGTAGACTTGTGATGGTTAATACTGAGCGACAACTTGATTGGATGGAAGGATGCAAAGTATCATTCTTGGGTGCATCTGTAAGGGTGTTACCAAAGGAGATTAACATTTGAGTCAGGGAACTGGAAGAGGCAGACCCACCCTCAATCCAGGTGGGCACCATATAATCAGCTGCCAGCATGGCCAGAATAAAACGCAGGCAGAAGAACGTGGAAAGATTAAACTGGCTTAGACTCCCAGCCTACATCTTCCTCCCGGGCTGGCTGCTTCCTTCCCTCAAACACTGGACTCCAGGTTCTTTAGCTTTGGGACTTGGACTGACTTCCTTGCACCTTACCTTGCAGATGGCCTACTGTGAGACTCTGTGATCATGAGTTAATACTCCTTGATAAACTTCCCTTACATATACATCTATCCTATTAGTTCTGTCCCTCTAGAAAACCCTAATATGCTAATTATCAAGGAAATGCAAATTAAAACCACAATTCAATACCACCTTACTCCTGTAAGTATGGCCACAATAAAAAAAAACAATAGATGCTGGAGTGGATATAATGAAAAGGGAACACTTTTACACTATGGTGGGAATATGTAAACTCATACAACCACTATGGAAAACTGTGGAGATTCCTTAAAGAACTAAAAGTAGAACTACCATTTGATCCAGCAATCCCACTACTGGCTATCTGCCCAGAAAAAAAGAAGTAATTATATGAAAAGGACACTTGTACATGCATGTTTATAGCAATACAATTTGCAATTGCAAAAATATGGAACTAGGCTACATGCCCATCAACCAATGAATGCATAAAGAAAATGTGGTATATATAGACCATGGAATACTACTCAGCCATAAAAATGAATGTAATAATGGCATTCATAGCAACCTGGATGGAGTTGGAGACCATTATTCTAAGTGAAGTAATTCAGTAATGGAAAACCAAATATTGTATGTTCTCACTCACAAGTGGGAGCTAAGCTATGAGAATGCAAAGGCATAAGAGTGATATAATGGATTTTGGGGACTCGGGGGAAGGGTAGGAGGGGGTGAGGAATAAAAGACTACACATTGGGTACAGTGTACAATGCATGGATGATGGGTGCACCAAAATCTGAGAAATCATCACTAATGAATTTATCCATGTAACCAAACACCCATCTGCCCCCCAAAAACTATTGAAATATTACAAAAATAAATATAAAAGTATCATTTCATGAGGCTGGGTACAGTGGCTCATCCCTGTAATCCCAGCACTTTGGGAGGCCAAGGTGGGCGGATCAGGAATTCAAGACCAGCCTGGCAAACATGGTAAAACCCCATCTCTACTTTTTTTTTTTCTTGTCAACTCTTAGGATATGCTTAAGTTACTAAAACCCCATTTTTATTTAAAAAAAAAAATACAAAAACTAGCAGGGCATGTTGGTGCACCTGTAATCCTGGCTACTTGAGAGGCTGAGGCAGGAGAATCACTTAAACCCAGGAGGCAGAGGCTGCAGTGAGCTGAGATCACACATATTATTTCATGAAACAGAGGAAGCAGGAGATAAATCAAAGTGACTTAAGAAAACAAAATCGGTTGGGGCAGTGGTTCACGCCTGTAATCCCAGCACTGTGGGAGGCTCAGGCAGGCAGATCACCTGAGGTCAGGAATTCAAGACCAGCCTGGCCAAAGTGGTGAAACCCTGTCTCTACTAAAAATACAAAAATTAGCTGGGGATAGTCGGGGGCACCTGTAATCCCAGCTACTAGGGAGGCTGAGGCAGGAGAAGTGCTTGAACCTAGGAAGCAGAGGTTGCAGTGAAACGAGATCATGCCATTGCACCCCAGCCTGGGCAAAAAGAGCAAAACTCCATCTCAAAAAAAGAAAAAGAAAACAAAATTGATAATATAGTTTCACTTATTCACCTGCCTGCTGGATTTAGCAAACAGCTAAAAGATTTTTCAAGAAACTTAAGAACATATGAAAGAAGAAATAGGGAATCTGTGGAAAGGAAAGATTGAAGATATTAAAGGAAAAAAATGGAAATAGATAGAAGGAAGAAAAAAGAAAATAGCAATAAATATCTTAAAGTTGCAGAAATCAACCCAGATGAAGAGTTTACTTATTTACCAAGGATTTATATATATATATTTTTTCAGTTTTAAAAAACATGAATTTAGTTATTTTTCCAGAATTTTGTGAGGTCAATAGTGATCAAATATTTTTTTTCTAGATTACTAATTCCTGCCCCTCTAACTAAAATGGGGGTGCAATTGAAGGTTTATTGGACCTGAAAGCATTCTAACTGGTTCTGTAAGGTAGGTCGTATCATTTGTGTACTTAAGTGTGTTTAATTCCACAAATTAACTTATATTTTAAATGCACTGAAGGATCTTACTAAACATCCCTTATTTTATCTTCTACATAACTCAAACTTTTACAAACTCACACTTCATTATAACTCAAACTTTTTAAAACTCAATGACACTTGTCATTTTATCCTCTCCCCAACTCTAGTACCTGACCTTGCTTTTTAACACTAAACACAATTTCTAAGGCTTTAAAATATACCATTGCATTTTTCTAACAACATATGATTAAGAAAGTTAAAATTTTGTTTACTTATTTTCACTTTTTTGAATAAGTGATCTCATACCTTCTCACCATCTTGCTTCTCTTGCTCTGGCTGGGTTTCCGGTGCTGGCCATGCATCTTTATCACTGCTTTCATCCTCAAATTCAATCCCTCTCAGTTCGGGTTCTTCTTCCAGAAATTCTTCTGGGCTGTCTGAGGTGTGTGCAGTAGACTCCAATCTAAAAAACAAAAGAAAATCATTCTTACTTGTTTTGCTAAGGATAAATATAAAATCTCAAAAGTCCTTTCTCAACAAAGTAACAGTTTAGAGAATCAACTATATGTTGACAACAATTTCAGATTTTACAAGTCTAAAACCAGTCTCTTCATCCTCATATAATATTATCATCTTCTCAATTATGTAAACTAGACCCTTCTTTTATTCTATCTATATCTTATTGGATCTTATCTTTTTTTTAACCTAATTTACACTGAAGGACCATGGACCTTATTCTATTAGAATGAACACATATCCCAATTTACCTGAGGTACTCGTAGTTTACAGACTTTTGTCCATAATTTTGGATGCTGGCATAATTATTAATGATGCTCCTTTCATTCTCAAAAACGTCACCTTGGACAACACATTATGTGGTTTAGTTCTAACTCCAAAAATGCCTTTCAAGTATATTCCTGACTTTCTATACCCATTTTCACAGCTCTGCTTCAGGCCCCAGTTCTCTCTGGACCACTGTAACTTCTTCCCAATTCATCTTCAGAATTAGAGTAGTACATCTTCATCAAGGCTTTCAGAGCTGCCTTTCTAATATATATTATCTGCACCTGTGACAGCCCAATTCAGAAACTTCTTGGTGGTTCTCTAAGCTTAGTGAATAAAGTGTACCTTCTTTGAAGGCCTAACATGACTAGACCCTTATATATATTTTTTGTTTGTTTTTGAGACAGGATCTCCCTGTCACCCAGGCTGGAGTGCAGCGGTGTGATCTCAGCTCACTGCAACCTCTGCTCCTGGGTTCAAGCAATTCTCTTGCCTCAGCCTCCTGAGTAGCTGGGATTACAGACGTGTGCCACCACACCCAGGTAATTTTTGTATTTTTAGTAGAGACAGGGTTTTGACATGTTGGCTCAGGCTGGTTTTGAACTCCTCACCGATCCACCCACCTCAGCTTCCCAAAGTGCTGGGATTACAGGCATGAGCCACTGGGCCCAGCCTAGACCCTTACAATTTTATTTACCTTATTTATCAGTTATCTTTAGCAACATTCCGCCTAGCTTTGTGCCTTTGCTCATGTTAGTGCTTTAGTCTAGATACAATAGCCATGAGACACACTTCATTATTTTACATTTAAATTAAAATTAAATGAAGCAATTCAGTTCTTCGTTAGCACTAGCCATACTTCAAGCGTTCAATGGGCACACTGGCTAGTGGCTACATACTGGGCAGCACAAGTACAAAACATTTCCATCATTGCACAAAGTTGTTTCACATCCTTGGTGTAGATAAGGGGTCAGCAAACCTTTCCTTTAGGTATTGTGGACCATATGGCCTCTGTTCTAACCACTCAACTCTGCCACTGCAATGCAAACATAAGTAAAAATATATAAGCTTAATAATATATAAAAATATATAAGCTTACTAAACAATAATTTAAAATATATCAGCTTAATAAGCATGGATGTCTTACAATAAAATTTTATTCACAAAAACAGGTAGCAGGCCACATTTGGCCTGCAGGCCACAGTCGGTGGATCCTTTCACTAGAAGGTCTTCTTTTCTCCCAACTCTGCTTGTTGAGTTTCTACTTATCTTTGAAGCCAAGACCCAAATGCCAAATCTCTCCATCCCCTCAATTAGAATCAAACACTCTTTCCTCTGTATCCACAGCATTCTGCACTTCCCATTATTGTACTGTCACAATCCACCTCATAGTGCTTTTAACTGTGTACATCTCTCTTTACCCCGAGGCAGTCAAATCCTTTGAGAGCAAAGACCATGTTTTGTTCCTTCATGTGTTTGAGGAAACATTCAAGCATTAAGTCCTACTGTTCTGTTTATGAAAAGCAAACAAAATTCCACAATAATTCTGGAAGGTTCAATTTAAAATATATTGCTACCCTTCTAAAAAGGGTACTAAATATCAAAATATTGCTCAGTGAGAAAACTATTTTTCTAAACTCATTTTTTATTACTAGATTTAAATACTTCCTTATATCTATCTTTAACATTACAAATTTTTCACCAAAATATTTATATACTTAATTACCCAAATTTTAAATTATTTGTATAATCAGATTAGCATAGCTACAGAATTCTCTACTTGACTAAAATAATTGGACAGTTAAAATACCAAAGTTATGAATTAACTAAATGGTTGACTCCGGAACAGCTGGCTGAACTGTAGGGCAAAAATCTAATTTTATTATAAAATGTAGAGTCTTGCTTTAAGATGCAAAGAAAGACAAAGAATAAAGTTGAGCCTCAAGTGTTCCATTGATTCAGCTGGCAACTAAATTCCTGGAGGAACTGACTGTACTATTTATGGTTTATCAGTGATTTATAAATTATATCCAATAGCTCAGTAAAATGAATCAATAAAGTAAAATTGAGGGTATTTTAAAACTGACTAGAGCCTGTTCGTATTGACTGCCCAGAATCTGTAAATCCTCTGCTCTAAGCCCGTCTGGACTCCCTCGGCCCCAGTTTTTTTTTCCTTTGAAAACACTAAGAATAATGTCACTGCATCAGTTTTTACTAGAGCCAATCACCCATCATACCTGGAAGAGGGATAATACCCAGACTGCCCTCAGTCCTAATAATCATGAAATGCATATCTGAAAGAAGAACAGGTGAAAGCTCATGAACTCAAGGAGCACAATGGACACATCACAGATATTGATTGGGCTCCCAAGAGCAATTGCATCGTCACTTGTGGGGCAGATCGCAATGCCTATGTCTGGAGACAGAAAGATGGTGTCTGGAAGCCAACCCTGGTGATCCTGAGAATTGCGCAGCTACTTTTGTGAAGTGGTCCTCCCTAGAGAACAAATCTGTTGTGGGAGGTGGAGCATGACTCATTTCTGTTTGTTACTTTGAGTCTGAAAATGACTGGTTGGTGAACAAGCACATTAAAAAGTCGATTCGCTCCACAGTCCTCAGCTTGGATTGGCATCCCAATGTATTGCTGGCAGCAGGATCATGTGACTTCAAATGCAGTGTTTTCTGCTTACATTAAAGAAGTGGATGAAAAGCCAGCCAGCACATCCTGGGGCAGCAAGATGCCTTTTGGGTAGCTAATGTCAGAGTTTGGTGGCAGTGGCTCTGGTGGCTGGGTCCATGGGGTCAGCTTCTCTGCCAGAGGGAGCCACCTGGCTTGGGTCAGCCATGATAGCACCATGTCTGTTGCTGATGCCTCAAAAATATGCAGGTCTCAACTCTGAGGATGGAGTTCCTGCCTCTTCTTAGTGTGTCATTTGCCTCAGAGGCTGCTGGCCGTGACTGCTGCCCAGTGCTCTTTAGCTATGATGGCTGTGCTACCTGACCTTTGTCTCCAAGTTAGACATTCCAAAACAGACCATCCAATGCAACATATCTGCCACGGAATGCTTCCACAACATGGACAAGAGGGCGACAACTGAGGACCACAACACGATCTTGGAGATGCTGCACCAGAATAGCATCACTCAAGTCTCTATTTATGAAGTGGACAAGCAAAGTACATCGCAAATTTTGCACTGCTGGCATTGATAGAGCCATGACAATTTGCGGTTTCAAGGGCCTCCGGATAACATGAAGCTGAGTGAGCTTCCACCATCCAGCATGACAAACTGTGGCTGACCACAGCTGTGCCGTGGAATGTGCCATGGAAGCCAGCCCCAAGAAAACACTGAAAACATGTATCACACCAATACGATGTGGTTTTGTTTGAATATAAAATTGGTGAAAGTGTTGGTTTTTTAAAAGCAGTTTTTTGTTTGTGGTTTCATTCCATTATCGACCAAAGCTTTTCTTTAAGTAGTTTATTATGGAAAATTGTCACACTAACTTAAAAGATAGGGTAAGGGAGATTATGTAAATTTTCCACTAGAAAATTAAATAAAAGAACCGAATGTGGAATTAAAAAAACTGACTAAATCTCAGCATTACTTAAAACTATGCCATCAAATTCAGCATTGGTGATAATGACTCATTTGGGATAATATAATCACTGGACTATTCTCCTAGATTTTCACACATGAAGTGAGTTTATGCCAGTCTCTTACTAGCAACTTCTCCCAATAACATTGTCAAGGTAACACTTGGCACTGATAAACAACTAATAATCTTGTATAAGAATTCAAATATAAAGAAGAAAAAAGAATTCAAGGCC